TAGGCCTCATTCCAAGTACAGAAATACGTAAAGAGACGGTGGATTCTCATGGTTGAACATAGCAGCAGAGGTGTGTCTGAAGTGTTTTAAGGGTGCAAATACAAATTAAAATTCTGTGATGCAGAAAGAACAAGCTAAGGCAGATTAGAGTAGGGGGAAAGCTGGGCACGGTAGGTGTGTGGGTTAGTGCACTGTGATTGATCTCCTAAAGATATAGCAATCTGTGTGAGAGGCCAACAGGAAAGCCGCTTATCGTGCACAGCATTCGTGACAAGTGAGCAGCTAGATTCTGACATGACGTAGGAAAAAATCAAGAAACACAGATAGCAATCTAACCCTTATGAACTGGTCAGTCCTGGGATTTAAAAATAATGATTTCTTTTTTTTTAATCTCCTCAGCATAGCATTTTTGCTGTGCATGTGGTGGAGGTATTTTTCAGATACCTCCACCTTGGTGCCCTTGTGTTCTCTCTGTCTCTCTGCCAGCACCTAGGTGCTTTTATTGTTCCTCACCACAGCTATCTCTTAATTTGTTGCCTCAGCCAGCTGTTCCTGCCTTTACATTGCCTGTGCCTGGCTTGAGTCCTGTCTGAGCCTCCTTCCTTATTATCTTAACACTGAATCATGTTATGTCAGTGTAATACTTTCTATTAGCTAAATAGTTTCCTTTCAGTTTAATTGGGAAGGCGACCTTGACAATAATCTTTATTGAACCTTACTGAAAAATAAAAGGTGCTGCAGAGAGTCCAGAGAAAGGCAAGGACCCTGGTGAATGGGCTGGAGCACAAGTCTTACGAAGAGTGGCTGAGGGAGCTGGGGAAGTTTAGCCTGGACAACAGGAGGCTCAGGGAGGACCTTACTCCTCTCTATAACTATATGTAAGGAGATTTTAGTAAGGTGGGGGTCAGTCTCTTCTCCATGTTACAAGTGACAGGATGAAAGGAAGTTTACATTAGCTATTAGAAGAAATTTCTTAACGGAAAGGGCTGTCAAACATTGGAATAGACTGCTCAGGGAAGTGGTGGAGTCACCATCCCTGGAATTTTTAAAAAAACGTGGGGCTATGTCACTTGAGGACATGGTTTAATGGTAAACATGGTGGTGGTGCTAGGTTAGACTTGATGGTCTTAAAATTCCTTTCCAACTTTAAGCATTCTGTGATTCTATGAACCAAAATTTGATTAGGATATTACTTCTGCTATTGCTATTTATTTTCCAGGATTAAATATGCCACTGCAAAACCTTTTTATGACTGTCTGTTCTGATTCTGTCCAGGACAAGATTAGTCTTTGCAGTGGCCAGAATAGGACATGGCTAGGACCTGGAGGTTATCCTATACCACCTCATGTCATTGCTGGGGTCAGGGGGAAAGGAGTCTCTTGCAACAAGAAGGAGTCTTTCCTTCTGGAGGGAGTGGCAGAGGGAGTGCTTGGGTAATGCTGGTTGTGAGCATTCTGCCTGTGGTGCACTCACCTCTCTCTTGTACGCTTGTTATTGATGTTGTTGCGGTAACTTCATTTCCTTATCTCTGCCATTTCAAGTAAATTGTTCTTAGTCCATGGTCTTTACCTTTTGTGCCTTCAATTCTTCTCTCCAGCCACCAGCAGGGGAGGGGGACGGGGGGAGTGAGCAAGTGGCAGTGTGGTTTGGAGCATATCAGTGGCAGCACTAAATTGAGGAGTAGCGTTCCTAAATCACCACAGTGTCCAAAGGTACAGACTAGATGACAAAATGTGCGTATATGTACATGTATATCAAGGCAGTTTATGCATTTTTATTTTTCCTGTATTACCATTTTGCTTCCCTGTGAAAGGAGATACATGTGGCTTTTGCAACCTCACTTACTAGTTTCTTTTAGCAAGTACTTTCACAATTGAGACAGTCTACTTCATTATTATGATGGAAATTTTGACACCATTAAAAATACAGTGTAAAATATGCAGAGAGACTAACTATCTGGTTAGAATTTGTGTGAAATAGAAATGTAAAGGATAGAATGACACCTGTTTTGAATCATACCACTGAAAAAAAATGCATGATTGATGCCAGCAGCCCTACCTCTAATTATTGTATTCTTATAGCTTGCTTTGTGGATTAGAAATAAAAGCAAGACCTTATTTAGCCACTGTTTTGGTGACTTACCTGTGCTTTAGGTATTAACCCCTGCTTGTTCTGTAAATTTCTAAATGTAAGGCTTCTCTCCTGAACCTTCCTTTCTAGAATATAATATACAACCATTTTGTGTCACTAGGGTCAAAAGGATGCCAGATTGCAAAAGAAAGGTTTGAGCTGTCTTCTATCTGCAATGCTATCTGTAATTCACACCAAAAATCCAGATATTAAGAGACAAGAGGCAATTCTATCAGCTTGTATTCTTGTAAATATGTGCTTAGTCTCCATTCAGCTTCAATTTAAACAAGCTATCTTAAACTCCAATGGAATTCAAGAGGGGATGAATTCTTCAGTAGGCAGGTACAAGGCTTTGCTAAAAGCTGAGCAAGTACTAGTCTTTGCAGCCTCCCATACATCCTATATTATGTTCTAGTTTCTTCAAGAAAGAAACAAACAACAATCCTATATAAAGAGTTGCTTGGTTAAGACTGAGCTTCAAGCAGGGTTCCACATGAAATATTAATGCTGACAATTCTCCATGAATATGACAATCTCAGCTCATTTAAGACTGAGACAGTATTCCACAACTATATATATGACTTTTCTAACGTGTTAATATATCCTACGAATGGAAAAATATGTGTTTCTTAAATTTTGCCTACTTCTGAAGTAGACAATCTTTGAGATTCCTTTCAACTTAAACTATTCCATGATTCTATGAGTTTCACAAGCCTCAGTTCTCCTGGGGCAGTGTAACTACTCTGTTAGAAGAATAATACAGCAGAAAACAGTCCAGGTTTCTGCATTGAAGGGGTGATAACTTCCTAAAATGTGTATTGATGAGATCAGGTGTTCTGGAGGCTCCTCATACGAGGCAGGAAGGAGGAACTGGTCAGGTTGTGAGATTCAGGAGCAGTCTTTTTTGCAATGACCATGAGAATGTGGAGTTCAGGAACCTTCAAAGAAGGAACAAAGCCAAAAGATAGGACCACAACCCTGGAGTTCAGACTTTTTCATGTTCAGGTGTCAGCTTGGAAGAATCCCATAGTACACAGTCATAGAGATTAGAGGTTCTAGAAGAACTGGTTGATTTTCAAGGATCTTCCTCCTTCAAGTTAAAAAATGGTCTCCTTCCAAGTGCAGGAAATCAAACAAACATGACAGGAGGTCCACATAATTGAACCTGTAGCTCTGGACAAAACTCAGAATTGAAAAGGAAGCATACAAGAGATGGAATCAGGGCCAAGTGGCCCAAAAGGAGTACAAATACTCTGTCTGAGAGTGGAGTTATAGGATTGAATCTTCCATGACTTAGAAGGCAACAAGAAGGGCTTCTGCATATAAGAGAAGCAAAAGGAAAACTAGAAAAATGTGAGCCTGCTGTTGAAAGGATTAGTAGACCTTTCAAGGCAAGGCAGTGGCACAGAAATGTTTGAGGCCTTTTTCACCCATCTTGATAGGTAAGATTGACCTTCAGGAATCTCAAGCCCCTGAGTTTTGGGAGAAAGTCTGGAGCCATGATGAACAGCTGAACAAAACAAAAGACTCTTCCACTGTGAAGGTGGTCAAACAGTGGAACAGATGGCACAGATGGGTTGCAGAACCTTCATCCTGCAAGATACTCAAACTCTGACTGAACAAAGTTCTGGAATACCTGCTCTAGCTAACTCTACTTAAGCAGGCAGCACCAGACTAGATCATCTCAAGAAGTCCCTTCCAACATAAATAATTACATGATTATGTGTACATAAACCAGTACGTTTTAAGAGAAAAGATGAAAGGACGCAGAGTTCTTCTAAATCTTTAGTTCTCTTTTTCCTGAAATGCTGTTAGGCACTTCTACATATAAACTCAGGAGAAATAAAAATGGCCTTTTCCACTGTAAGTGCAACTTACACACAAGCACAAGGAGCCGTAATGGTGCATAACTTACTCATATTAAAGACCTGAACTATATTACTTGTGGAAATGTTTAAAACAATATCAATATTAATGACCATTCATTCAAAGATTTGTTAATGTAAAATAACAGTATGTTGTGTTTTGAACAGAACGGTATGTTTAATAACAGTATGTTCTGTGTTTGACTCTAGCTTCTACTGTGGCTGACCCAGTGAGGGAAGTGGTTAAGCTTTTAGGGTAAATCATAAGTCCATGGTCATTGTGATGGGTGCTTAGAAGTTACTGCTTTGAACTTCTGCATACATCTTATGTATCTTATCAGTAACGTTTTGGCATCTCACAGGTGTAACCTCCTGGATACTGCTCTGTGCCTCTCTTTCTCTCTTCTCTCCTGTGTGGCTGCAGCAGCAGTGACATAAAGCATTAAGTACACAGATATGTGAATTATCTGTGAGTACTTCATAGCTCATAGGCCCAGATCTGTATATCTACTATATGTAGATGTGTTTTATTCATTTAGGCAATAGTTTGACAACAGGTGAATCCCATAAAACATGTTTCTTGAGGAAAAGCAGTGCACAAGGTACAATTTATATTACTTTTCCCTGAGTGGTAAGTCACTGAGATTTGCATGAATAAATCATGATGAAGGAGTATTAAACAAAGCCAAATGACTAGATAGATGTTCTCTTTATGCTTTAGAACATACTGAAGTAATGAACATCATATTAAATTATAAACCTTCACTAAGAAGTAAATTGGCAAATAAAAACTAAAAAGTACCAAAAAATCTCAAAACCTGCACATGTAAACTAGTTGAAGCAATATATTAAAACATATTTTAAAGCATAAGACATGAAAATCATATAAAGAAGCTTTAGAATAACATATTATTATAGCCGATTATCTTTTGACAATGTAATAGAACTTTAAAATGCACATGTTTTGACTCGTTTTGATGATAAAATTTACTTTTTCTATTGTAGAAAATGATGAGGTCATCTGTGTTTCATATGTTCATACTAAGCATGGTTGCTGTCGATGTGATTGTTGCTGCTAGCAACTACTATAAAGGAGAAAATTTCAAGAGACAATATGATGAATTTTACCTTGCTGAGGTGAGTATGGTAAAACGACTATCTGGGTAATTTTCAAGATAAGCTAAAGTAAAAAATGTGATTGTCAAGAACATTTTAGTGTGTAATTTTTTATTCCCTCAAGCATTCCAGGAATACTTTGCTCGCTTTCCTCTGTCTGACAATGGCTGACAGCCCTATCTTACAACCTTTTGAAAGGCAATTTCCTCAAACAAAATGTTAGTGGTAGTGAGCTGAGGCTTAAGTGTAACATCTGCAGGCAATGCATGGCTGCTGAGTTGCTATTTTTTTCTAGCAGGAGTGTAACATTCAGAAGAATTTAACTTTAAAAAGATGACAAAGCATTGTATGTAAAAAATATAATACAGAATTTTTTCCTAAATAATCTTTATTTGATATATATGCTTAGCTGCCAGAAGGCCCTTAAGGATAACCAAAATAGTGTTACAAATAGTCTGGCTTCAGTAATTGCAAAAACACACCACAAAAAAAACCTTTTATGCAGTCATGAATTTTGCAAAGGAGGAGTCTGTGCTCCTGAGCTGGTTAGGTGGAAGTACAAGTGGCATTCTGACAGGGAGCCTGCTTGAGACATCAGCTGGTCAAGGATCTTACTGTAGAGCATGCACTAGAGATCCTAGAACCTTGCCTGGATTGGGCATATTTCTCCTTCACACCTACTGCACTTTCCCTGGTTTCAATAGTTACACAGTCCTTTGGAGCCAGAGGGGTCATTTTTAGATAGAGTGAATGATAGCAGAATATTCCTGGTTGTTTCTCTGGGTTTGGTTGCTCTGTGGTTTGCTATGTCTAAATATGTTTGGTATTCAGACTTACATGCCCAACTTAAAGTCCTTTAGTCCATGCTTTATGAATCTCTTTTTTAAAGGAAGATTGAATTGATACATATTTTTTTATCTTAGTTTTAGAATTTGTATCTGATCTCTTAAAATTATATGAAGCTGAGAGTTTACCAGTTCTGGGACAGAAATGAGAGCAAAAAAAAAAAAACCTGTTAGAAACAGAATCAGTATCCAAACCTTTAAAAAAGCGCAAATTACAAAGACAGCAGTGCTGCACCATTCTTCATTGTCTCTCATGATCCTGAGGATTGCTGTATTTTTTATGAATATTGAGTCAATGTTGGCGTGGACAACAACTACAAGAATAATTGTGAAATATATTGTCTTTATTTTATCTCAAAGACTATTTGAAAAACAACATGAACATGAAAATTATTATCCTGAAAATAAGTCATTGGAATAAAACCAGCAAATACTGGATTGTTATAAAATGCTCCACAGATCTTAGAGTAGAATTGAGGACGGGGAAACTCATTTTAATCTCCATCGTGGTTTAACCCCAGCCAGCAGCTCAGCCCCATGCATCCTCTTGTTCACTCTGCCTCAGTGGGATGGGACAGAGAATGGTCATAGTAAAAGTGAGACAACTCATGGGTTGAGATAAAAAACAGTTTAATAGGTAAAGCAAAAGTCATACACACAAACAAAGCAAAACAAGGGATTCATTCACCACTTCCCATGGGCAGGGAAACCGTCTCCAGGAAATTCAGACTCCATCAGACATAACAGTAACTTGAGAAGACAAACAGCATCACTTTAAATATGCCACTCCTTCCTTCTGCTTCCTCTAGCCTTATGTGCTGGGCACAATGCTAGGATAGACATAGGATATCCTTGTGTTCATTTGGGATCATCTCTCTTGGCTGTTTCCCCTCCCCACTCCTTGTGCACCCCCAGCCTGATCACTGGTGGGGTGAGAGGCAGAAAAAGCCTTGACTTCATGTGAGCACTGCTCAGCAACAGCTGAAACATCCCTGTGTTACCAACACTGTGTTGGGCACAAATCCAAAATAGCACCATACAAACTATTATGGGGAAAATTAACTCTGACACAGGCAAATCCAGTACAATATCCTTGGCTGGAAACAAATAATTAAGTCAGCATTAAAGCCTGAGGCCATGAACTCTTCACAGCAGGCATTTTTGCTTTGTGCCCAGGATACAGCAATTAGAACCTGGATTCTTAACAAAATAACATTAATTCTATTTATATTCAAAATAGGGAACATTGCATGTCCTATTTCTATTTTGGCTCTGAATATATAGTATAATTATGCTTTTATTAATCAGTGCTAGAAACAATCTCTATAACATTTATTTCAAGTATGAAGTTTGCGGGTTTTTTTTTTTTTTCAGTAGAAATACTTGCTATGGTTTATTCAAGGTAAGTCTATAATGTAGACTTGTGTATTATAATTCTGTCCTATAAGCAATGTCTAGTTTTCTTTAACAATACATTTTTCTCTTTCTGCATAGCTTTGATAATTGATTTCTTAGTGGAGAGATTGTCAGAAAAATCATTTGTTTGCCTTTTTACATTTCCAAGTATATGAGGTATTCTGGGATAGAGAAAGGTGGGACTTTTTTATTTGTAAAGCATTTCTTATGTCCATTTATTGGATTTCCTGGTTTTGTTTTTCTTTTTTTTTTTAATCCTGTGATGCTTTTACTAAAGGCACTATAAAAATCAAACTAACAAAACCCTAGTATGTTATAGAAGGAGGAACAAAGTATCAGAAGCGCAGAAGAATAAAAAAATCCTGAGAGAGAGGAAAAATCAATAAGCTGGTGTCATTTCCTATTTGGTTGTTGAGAAATTTGCTCTTTGTAGCGCAAAGGTATACAAAGGAAATATTTTTAAGAGCCTTGAAGAAGCTGAATACTCAAACACTGCAGGTTATTCCACAGTGTTTGTTTTCTTGGTGAAGAAGACTAGTTGGAGCGGGATGCACTGCTATTGCTCTGTCTTTTCCATTAGAGTATGCTACAGAAAGCTTTCTCTTCAGTGGGAGCTGACTTGAACAGCCAACAGCAGTGAGGATTCACTTTGCTAAAAGAAATGGCCAGATAGACTACAGCAAGCATATCTGGCTTTCTGGTACATTTTCCAGAAGTTATCTTGGAAGCTGCTGGCTTTAAGAGAAGATATGTTTAATAAAATAACTCACTTGGTCCATCCTGTGTATCACATGTTGTAGTGGCCTAGAATTGTAGAAATACGTCCGCTTAAACTCAATGGGCAAACCTAAATGAATTTTTTGACATGCCCCATACCAATAAAAGAAACCTGTTTTCATTGTTGGAAAGGAAAGACAAACTCAAGAAGGCAAAGGCTAAACAAGAAGATAAAAGAAATTAATCTATACTCAGATCCCATTGTTTGTATAATTTTGTATACCCAGTAGCAAATAAGAGGTTCTGAGAGGCATTTCAACTTGTATGCATCTGTCCTGCAGATTAATCAAAACCAGAATTTTAACAGGATGACTCAAAAACCCAGTGCAGTGTCCTGGAAAGAGCAGAGTTTCAAACACACTTTTTTTTTTTCAAGTAAGACACAGTAAGTGAGTCTGTCACAGTTCGATGCTGACTGATAGTGAGCTCTGCCAAAAAAAAAAAGTGTTGAGTGGCTACTAGCAAAAGGTACTGTTAATGAAGGTGGGATTAATACCATAAAGCTTCCAGGTGACCAACAGGGTCATGACTGTCAAGGAAATGGCCCATTCCTGTTAGCTCCTCTTGGCCTCCCCAAAGCAGAATTGGCAGCATACTGAAGGGTGACTGCTTTGCAACTGCTTATGTGTTACACCTTCTTTTTCTGCTCTGACTTCTGAGTTTGCATTTGCCTTCTCTCTACAGCAATGAAAGGAATTATTCCAACTTTAAAAAACCCCAAAAAACTATAAAATTGTATTGCATTTCACACCTAACAAAAAGTTCTAGTCAGATATTCTGAATCTTCTCCTGTAATTAATTATAAGGAAGGAAAAAAATACAAGCTCTGTCAGCAGGAAGACAGGTGTATAAATGTAATCAGATGTTATGCAAACCATTTGATACATTTTTAAGTGCCAGTGGTTTGAATTCATTTGACAAGTATGTGAAATGCAAATGATCCTGCCCACACATTTTTAGAATAAATTAAAATACACTTAACATCATATTTGTTAGTCTTGTTCTAATAGGAAGCCTATGTGCTCTGAAGTGTGTATGTGTGTATTTAAATGGCATTGTTATTCCACCTGCTCTGAGTTGAATCTCAGCTGCTTTTTAACCACTGTTACATTTTGCCTAATTCAATGGCCTTCGTCTTTTAGGACTCAGTTAGATGCTGTGTCATTAATACTTTTAAGATTTTTTTGCTAGAACATTTTCCTTGTGTCTTAGAGATTTTCATGTAAAGGAGTAGTCTCTTCAAACCTGGCTCATTGTTCTCCTAGAGCTCTTTGAGATCCCAGAACACGAGCTGTAAAACTGGCCAGATCCATTTGAGGATAAAGGCATAAATGCGTCCCTACAATCTCTGGCATAAACTTGAGTGTTTAATTTCCATCTCCACTCCTGCTGATGGCAGTCCTGTACACATAAAATACGTAAATTTTTATTTACCTATCTCACAACCTCCCTCTTTCATGTTGATAAATACATTTTTCATGGACTGCATAGTTTAAATTTTTAAGGCAGCATCCCAGAGATTTTCATTGTCAGGGTTAGGATTAAAATGTTTGTCTCTAATATTTTTATCCCCTGCCAAATTCAGTAGACCACATGTCCCACAGTCTGTTAGTTTCTCCACCTTAACAGACTTGTAATGCTTGTCCTCAAAGGAGATTTAAGCTATATTTTCTTTATTTGTACTGCACTTTGAAAGTATTAGTGGCAATTAGATATGACCTAGCGTTATTTTAGGGTCTCTTTTAAAACTCAGTGTGTGTAAAGGGTCAGAGAGGAGCATTTCTCAGTCAAAGTAAAGCATTTCCATTGCATATCCTAGCTGTTGGAAAGTGTGGAAGAGAGCATCTCAGAGTATATACAGTGGTAAAATAAGAAGGCACATGAGGAAGTGTGCCTAGCCAGAAGGATTTTTGGTAATGAGAGAAGTAAGAGAAAATAAATCTTGAAGATGTACACCTATGCTTTTGTTCAAACTGAACATTATGTATTTTATTGTGCAAATATTTCAAGAAAGGCCTCTGGAAGAATCCCAAAGTCATTCCCTACAAGTAGATTTCTTCCCCTGTAACTTCCCACTATGTCCAAGTTCTTTAACATCATTATGACAATGAACTAATTCTGGTCTGAATTTTAATTTCCTCTCCTTTTAAAATTTGTTTTAGGTGCTTAAAAACCATTGCCTCTTTTGTACCTGTTTTGGTTGTCGTATTACTATGGATGTTTTAGAAAATTGAATTAGCAATTTTCAAACTTTGGTGCCTTTCTTAACTCTCTTGAAATTCTTCAGAAATCTCGTATGTGTTGCTTCATATATTGAAAAGGTCATGTCATTATATTTTTTATAAGTATAGTTAAAGTGAAAGATCATCTGGATGGATTTATTACTTCATGCTTTCCAGTCATGAAATCTACCTGTCTGTGTTGAGTCTAGAAAATGTTATGAAGTGAAATCTATTATTGTTTATTCTGTTTAGAAGATGGTTTGTCTTATTCAATATTATGAAGATCATAATTTTTGCCATACAAAGCCCTGACAGACGTCATAACATAGAAACTTCTAATTTAATTCAGTGTTTTGAATGCAGCTTTCTTATTTTATATATCCATCTAGGTTGCTTTTACAGTTCTGTTTGATTTAGAAGCCCTTCTGAAGATCTGGTGTTTGGGTTTCACAGGATACATCAGCTCATCTCTTCACAAGTTTGAGTTGCTGCTTGTAATTGGAACCACTCTCCATATTTATCCAGATCTCTATCACTCTCAATTTACATATTTTCAGGTATGATCAGCTACTTCTACTTTTTACCCTATATACCAAATTAAAATGTTACCCATCTACATTTCACACAAATTTCAATTTTCTCACAGTATTAACTCATTTTGATAATAACTTTAAAATAAACTATGTTTTAACTATATTTAACTATGTTCATTGGGTGGATTTACAAAAAATAGCATTCTTTCTAACTTTGCTGAGAAGTCCTTTCTGTTATCAGTAACTCCCATTTCTTATCTGAGCTGCCCTGTTCTTATCTGAGCTCAGTTCTTATCTGAGCTGCCTGGTTGGTTTCTCTATTGTTCTTCACTGAGCCTTGACCTTTACACAGCTGTTTACAACATCACCTTCCCATAATATCCACCACTGCTTTCCTGACTGCTCTCCCTGAGACCTCAATTCGAATGCTTGCTGTTGTGTCTCCAAATCATCTCTGTGGCAGTCACATGCTAAGCTAAGTTACTGTGGGTCTTCTGAGAAAATTTCTACAGAATCATCCTAGACTTGGGTTTTTCAGCTCTCCAGCCATTCCTTATCTAGAGGGAGTGTGCCTATTGAGGCTCTTCTTGCATATTCACTTGAGGGAAGAGCAGGAAAAAGAGACAAAAAAAGACTGATTAATTCTGACTTATCATTCTGAGTGATTCTTCTTGTCAGCCAGCCCAACCAATTCCCCATTCATCCTCCTTCAAGTGCTTAGGGTTGATCCAGTTCTGGGAGAAGGCACTGGGATTCATTATATATTATGTTCCACAGTGCTAAAGAAAGGCATTTTTTAAGAATATATATATTAAAGGATTCATATCTGCCCATTATTCAGCAATGTGTTGGCATGGTGAATAAGTAATACTCAATAGGGGAAAATCATAAATCATCAGACAGTGTTCTGTCAATAAATGTTATAGTGACACATATTGTAAAGATGAATACAGCATGAGGGAAGCAATCTCCCCAAGTGTGGGTTGAAACATAATGGCCTTTTCAGATTTCTGCAAATGTCATCCTGTATTTTTTATAAAAGTTTCTGCAAACCTCCTCAAGAAAGCTTTCAGGATGAAAAAATCTATATTGTTTTCACCAGATATAATTTGAAGACTTTTAAGTCATTATAGCTTTGATTTTGCAGTCCAAATATGTAGAATGTTGTTATTCCATACAGCATGATGTATCTAAGGTGCAAGGAAGGATGTGTCAGGAGTATGCAATTGCACTCTTGTGTCAAAAGCACAGGGAGCATAGCTGGGAGCTCTCAGTTAAAGCAGTCAGAAAATTAGTTAGTAATTGGTTTGTATTAATTAGGACATAGTCCACTTATGACTGGTGGTTTCTTTGTAAGAATTTTCAGCATAAATTATGAATGTTGGACTAAATGGATGACATCATCACTAACTCATGGGATTGAAAATATGATTAAAATGTAGGCAGATGCTGGTAATAAAATAATAAATATTTTCTTTTTAATGGATTTAATTAGTTTAGTGGAGCAGTGGTGGTTGTGATGGTTTTTAATTGCACAGTGCTAGTTTTTATGACAGAAAATTTCAAGATGTGATTTATTTTTTTCCAAAATATATGAAAGACATACTTTTTAAAAGCAGAAACACCTGGTACACTGAAATATTTGGGCTGTATTTTGCAATCCAAGTCCTCTAGGAGGCGAATGATTGGAAGATTGCAGCATGCCTTTGAAGTCAGCATGCAAGGTACACACCATATTCCTCCACAGTTAAGTTCTGGGCAAGCTAGATAACACATTTTCAAATCAACCAAGGTCAAAATGCCTTTTTCACATGAATATGTCTCAATGTTAGGCAGATTTCCAGACATTTAGGTATTTGTGATGACAGTGTAAATGTGTTCCTTGTCAGCGAGCAAAACAGATTACTGAAATCAGAAGTCCTTCCTGACACATTCCAGGATAGCAAGCAAGGATTATTGTTTGGGTTGTCTAGTCCTCCTTGCATGCATTTCAGTTTGCATTATTCATTGGTCTATATCATTACCTTTTGCCAACACATCACTCAGTCTTTACTACATTGGCTACTGTCCACCCTCCCACCTATCTTCCTTGCGTTCACTGTGCATTCATTCAAGACGGTTTGCAAAGCCCTCTGTGAAAGACTACAGCAAAGGACTGTTATCTAGCCATATCTGTAGGACATAAGATTAGTGGAGAAATGACAGATTTTGCATGTTATTGCAGAGATCTGTAATGAACCAGCATAAAAGGGAGATATTTAAACAGAATTTAACCTATACTGACAAGATGGTATTGTATTTGTTTTTGGGGAAAATACTGCTGAGTCATTTTCTGAATAACTGTCATCCCTTGCAGGAGATACAACCATTATTTGTGAAAGCTGTGGTTCCTTTTTTGTATTATTAATTTTGATTCATTTTTAATATATTTTTATATTTAATCCGAATAGTGCATCTTCTACAGCTCCTAAATATAATGCAGTTTGCAATCCAATTACACAAAATGCATAAATTCATTAGAATGTACTTTTGCTAGATTCAATTTGTTACCTAATGAAAATAAATGAAGAAACCAAATAATATCAATAAGATTAGTGCGTGGCTTAAAGGTCAATTAAAGTTCCCTGAAGAAAAGGGAAAAAAGTAAGGCAGATAGTTGAATTTATCTAAAACACCACTTGGAATACCAACTAGTACGAAATCTCCCCACTGGGGTCTGTGTTGATACTAGTATTGATGGGAACAGAGCTAACATTTACACCATGAGTAAATCTCGTAAGAAAGAAGGCACCATGTTTACATTTTAATAGTACTTGGAAATCTCACTCTTCTCACTGTCTGCCTTGGTAGTCCATTTCATGTACTCAGGTTATATGCAATGTAGTTATGATACCAATGTGAAAGAAAGAACTTTATCTCACCTTGTGCTAATGTTGTGAAAGTTAAGCTGTCTAGTGCAACCTCTGAATCTAGGACTCTTTTTTGCCACTGAGGACTGTGAATGCTTATCCCATCTCACAAAAGGGCTCTGGTATGTTTGGAATAAGTTGCTGTCTTGAGTTGACTCTCTCTCTCTCCCACCCCCCCACCACCCTTTGGTAGTTAAATCTAGATGACAGGCATATTCTGCATACCTTACAAATGGGTAGGGAGATGAGCTTCATGTGAAATCCAAAGGTGTACACTATTAGCAAGCTGCAGAGCTACAGCGAGCTCATTATATGAACAACTTCTGTCATACTTATTTTCTTTCCAAAACAGCATAGTAACTGTATTTGATTTGTACATAAGGTCAGACAATAATTGCACTGTAACTCCTACCTTTCAGTTTCAATATGATTCTTGTGGAAACCCAGGTGATACCTTGAAATAGAGAGTATTTTTCTTCCTATGAACTGCAGAATCTCAGTTGCCCCATATGCTACTGTCCATTGTTTTCAGCAACTACTGTTGCTGCCACTGCCTCTTGTTGATACTGATGTTCATGTCACTGTGTCAACATCAATGGCAGAAGCAGGAGAATCAGAGCTGTCAGCAGCTCTTTCAAAGTAGACTAAGCAGTGAATGGGTCAGGAGTTCCACACAAAATCAAAGTTTTGCTGCCAGTACTGAGAGGTGTCAGATATGTCAGGGGCAAACAATGCTATTGTGAGATACTGAATTTCTCTGTTATTGAGAAACACAACCTAAAATTTCCCATGTTATATATAATATGAAATAGTAAAATATGTTCATTACCAAATTTACTAGGTTATGTAGGACACATAATGCCAAATAATTTTGCTTCAGGTCACTGAAATGGAGAGATAATCTGGGGAAGAAGATTGAGCAGTTCTTTGTGTGCTCAAACCAGAGCTTTCATCAAAGACTGTTCAAGAGCCTGTCCATTTAGTATATGAATGAAATTTTAACAGTGATGATAATCAAACTGGAGCCATTTACCTAGTGCTTCAGTAGATTCTCAGTTGCTTAAATCTAGACTGATGCACTTTGACTCCTGCCTGGAGGCATTCTTATGTTTGATAACACATTATAAACCTCATTTGGTTTCTAATTCCACATTACATTCATATTTAATATCTGTCCTGTGTTTTGTCTATGTCTTTGTTCCCATTGTTACCCCAAAACCAGCTTCACCCAATTGCATTTCTGTAATGACTCTTCATGATTGGTTGGCTAGAGCCTTGGAGACCTTGGGTCCTCTCATGCCTGTGCTATCATTCCATGCCTGTATGCCTCAATGCTGCTTATGTTCCTCTTTTTGTGGTTTTAGCCTAACACACAACTTATCATCTATTACAAGTGGTGGCAACTTGATATTTTTTAGTCTACAAAGCATCAGGTCCCTTTTTGGCCATGAATGTCTGATATTTTGAAAGTTTTTGATTAATATATAAATAATTGATACAGTTGCATCTTTCTCTTTCTTTGCAGGTTCTTAGAGTAGTTCGGCTTATAAAGATTTCTCCTGCTTTGGAGGATTTTGTGTATAAGATCTTTGGACCAGGAAAAAAACTTGGAAGTTTGGTAGTATTTACTGCCAGCCTTTTAATTGTAATGTCAGCAATCAGTTTACAGATGTTTTGCTTTGTGGAAGAACTGGATAGATTTACAACCTTTCCAAGGGCAAGTATAAAAAGCACTGATTACTCATTGCATGTCACTATTTTCTTATCATGGATATTTTCTTACCATTGATGGCAGACTTGGCAGTGTTTGGTAAGTGACTGGACTAAGTGATCTTAAAGGTCCTTCCATCCTATGATGATTCTGTGATTCTGTTGGGGTTTAACCTGACCAGTGGAGCTAAACATTACACAGCCACTTGTTCAATCCTCCTCCTGCAGTGTGATACAGGAGAGAATTGGGGGGAAAAAAGTAAAAGTTTTGGGCTGAGATAAAGAAATTTTAGTAGGACAGAAACAGAAGGGGATACAACAACCATAAAAGAATTAGAATATACAAAATCAATGGCTCACAATGCGATTGCTCAGTATATGTTGGCTGATGATCAGCCAGCTTCCAGTCTGCAGCCCATAACCAGCTTTTCCCTAGTTCATATGGTGACCATGATGCCATATGGGATGGGATATCCCTTTGGTCATTTGGGGTCACCTGTCCTTGTTGTTTCCCCTCACAACCTCTTGTGCACCCTCTGCTTGTTCACTGGTGGGGTGAGAGGCAGGAAAGGCCCTGCCACTGTGCAAGCACTGCTCAGCACCAACTAAAACATCAGGGTATTATCAAGATCATTCTCATCTTAAATCCAGAATGCAGCGCTGTGCCAGCTACTAGGAAGAAAATGAGTTCTATGCCAGTCCAAACCAGGACGGGTTCTATTATACTTGCTCTTACATTAGCAGTCTTCCTTTCCTTCTTAGAAACATTGAAGCAGTTTATCTCCATATGTATCAGTTTTAAAAAATGTATTTTCTACATGTAATAGTCTTCCTGTAGTCCTTCTGTACTGAAAACCATCTTTCCTTGTGGTAGGTATTCTGTTTCTGCTGTCAAGGGAACACAGAGAAATTTTACCTATGTGCTGTGATGGTAACACAGCACAGCATATGGCTTAACAGTAATCTGTCATGTTAGGAAGAGAATTGATGTCCACTGGCATGAATATAGCCCAAGAATTTGTATAAAACATATACACATGATTTATATCTTCCTATTATGAAAGTGGTTGTTCTTGATTTGTACAGGAATGCTTGTTTTACACAGGGTTATAAAACCTGTCTGCATTGACAAAGTAAGTGTTTGCCTTTTGGGTATAAATAATGGATATTTATGGGCATTATGTTAATTCAGAACAGAACATTGAAAATCAGTGGAAATTGGAGCTAATGTATTTGTTGAAGCACACTGTTCTGAATGAAAATAGTGCAATTTCTTTAATAGTGGATTAGACTGAGTGTACATGGATTGATTCCAGTGACAATTTATTTGTTTCTGTCATTCCAGTTTGGTTATCCAATGTATCTATTTTAGTGAAAGTGCATTGGTTGGAACAATTAAATAACAATGAATAAGGCAGCCTCAAGGGTCATGTATTTAGCGAACAAAATGGCTAAACAACAATTTGTAATTATCAAGCTGAATTTGATCTACAGGAAGCTGGCCATCCAATGTGGAACAAAAAATGCCTACCCACAGGGAATAATGTAACACCATGCTTTCTATTTTGGAAAACATGCTTAGAAAAGCAGGCACTAGAATTAGATATTCAGTATCATTCATTAAATGCTGAAGAAAAAAAAATAAAACTTAAGCTTTCCTAATTATGTCAGGTCTCTAAATCAGGTGATATTACCACCATATTCTATTCTCAATTCCCATGTACAACTTCTGAAAAAATCTGCAGGTTTCAAATCACCATGGAGTTTTGTTTTGGAATTATTTTATTATTTATGCAAAATGTCAGTGAAAGTCCTGAAAGAATAATTGTAGTATGATCAAAATAAGACAAGATTGCAATCACCTTCACATTTTAACTGGATAAATTGATATGAATACCTGAGAAACATCCACTTGCAATGAAAAATGGCCAATTTATATCAATACATTAGTAAAATTTTGGACTATTTTGAGTGTTTTAATCTGCTGCCATTTAAGCTTCAATAAGGGCTTCTAGCATATTGAATTTTAACAGATATATGTAAATATGTAAATTTTAACTGGTATATGTTTTAAGAGTGAGAAAATATTTTTGCCAACAAATTATACAGTGTTTTTACAAACAAGACATGTCTTTACTGGTCTTCTATTTTATGACTCGAGTACTGGAAAAAGAGAAGAGCTGTTAACAGCAATAGAAGAGTGTTACAGCAATACTGAATTGAAATGTTTTCAGTATTTTTTCATATGATAGCCAGAAGCCTGAGTCCCTCATTATTTTTTTTTATGTATTCATATTCACCTTGTTATATTTGTTTCAGAAGCGTAAAATTTACAGAATGTGGTTTCTTTTTGTAGTTTTATAGTGAAGCATCCCTTATTAGGTTAAAAGACAGTGAAAATTTTGTACTCAAAATTGTGATTGATGGTGTGAAATGCTGGCATCTTGCTGAAGGAGTGTGTCTTCCTAGCAAAGTCTGGGAGTTCTCAAATTTTCTTCCCTGAAGAAAGATCACTGAATCATTTTGCAATAAGACAATTCTAATTATTTTCAAAACATGACTGAAGACATGCTATATAACATATCAGATGATATTGAGTCTGCAATACCAGAATTTGATAAGATAAATTATTAGGAGCTTACCCTCAAAGAAGAACAAACCTTAAATAGCCAGGATTGTTGCTGTGGGATTTTTCAGTCAAAAATACAGGGAGGAGAAGCATGATAACAAAAATGGTGACACTAAAGGTTAAATTTTGAGTTTCTACATTAAAGTGCTTTCTACATTGAAACAGACAAAACCTAAAATCATTTTGAAACTAAGTGCTTTATAAGAAGGCACAGTATGGGTTTTGGAACAAATAGACCTCCTCCTTTTGCTAATGCCTCTAAATTGCATGTTTTCACATGGTTTCCTGATGAAAATCAATAGGCACAAGCTCACTGTTGCCATAGCTACTAATTTCACCCTTCTTTTGGCCATTACAACTTGCCAAATGGACTGGCTTTCTCTCTAATTCTAAGTAAAAAAATATAGATGTTTGCTTTACTGTTTTTAACCATCTGCTACCTCTTATGTTTGCATGTCTTCTTGGGCTGCACATATTGAGCCATGAGGAGGGACAAGGGTGGCTGAGCCCCCTGAAGAAGGCATAGGTGTAAGGTGGCTGCTAAGAAAATTCACTGTATGGAGAACAAAACATTGTTACTGTCTCTGACTTCCACGCCCTGGTTTCTTTTGAAGTTTGCAGCCGTGTGCTGACTGCTCTGTGTCAATTTACCAAGGTGGGAAGCTGCCCTTCTTTTAAATGGGTCAATACAAGATGAGAGCCAGGCCCAACTAATCCCAACAATTCCCCGATTTTCTCAAAACCAAGTGTTTGCTCCTAGCCTTGACCTAGGAAAAGTTTCTTATGTGAGATATTAGTTCAACCTAAGCAACACCTATTAAAAGAGATGAACAATGCAGTCTTAATTCTCTGATGCAGTTAAAATCTCAGTATCACTGCCACATTTTTAAAGGATGGCTACTCTTCTTTCAGGATGTTACTGTGCCCTCGTGACTGTGTCAGGAGGAAAACATAAGTTTCTGCTGGTAGAAGGATGTTACAGTAATGTACTAAATCCCATTAACTTAATTTGCAGAAGCAATCCCTATGGTTGTAGAACTGCTTCTATGAATTAGGCCAGTGGAATTTGGTCCATAAAATTTTGTGGACGAGCACCAGTTACAAGTATAATGTACCAGACAAGTACATTATAACTGTAATAGTAATTTGTGTGGCACCACCCTTGTAACATTTGGACAAGATGTCAGAAATGGCACTTTGGCTCATATATTCTACTAAACCTTTGCCAATCTTACACTATAAATAAAAAGGTAGTTTGACTTCCATCATCAAAACAGCTCATTAAGTAATAGGGCATAAATAATCAAAGAAATTGACAGTCTTTTCTATAACACAAATTAATTCAGAAAATCACCATTTGCATAAATTTCTAAGTCTCGTCTTCACAGATGTTGATTCTGTCAGCTAGTTGCATTTCAAATTAATTTTAAAATAAACAGTGGGAGGTACACCTTTCAGCTAAAAATAACGTGCTCCAAAGAAGATTGCTTGGTGCAAAGCACATATTCATTGTGAACTGCCTTATTTACTTAAAGCTAGTGTTTTGAATTATACTGGAATTTAATGTCATGTTAAAATGCATATTTTATATTGAAAGGCCATTTTATAAAACTATATGCTTTACTGACAACTGGTTTGGATTGAAGATTAGATTTTTTGATATTAAATTAATGTCGTCTCCACATTCATCTACTATTAATTGTATTAATGATGAGTCCACAACGTAATACTGAAGGTATTTTTATAACTTGAAGAATTAAGTAGAATATATATATATTTTTTAAAAGCAGTAGGCTGTGGTAATTAAGTGTGATTCAGAAGAAATGCACTAGTTCAGTTGTCCAGTCCCTCTGGTGTTTTTAAAGCCAGCAGTGGGGTGTATTATTTAATGTAGTGCCCACCTTATGCTTCAGCGAGGAGTGCCGCAGCAATCAGGTATGCTGGCCACTGGCTCTGAGTGCAGGCAGTGACAGCTGCCTGGTTTAGCTTCAGCTCCCCATCACAAGGGGAACTTGAGACATGAGAAGCAGTGCCGAGCACTGATGGAGTCCTTGTCTTCTTCACCCTAAAGCACCCCTGGCAGATCTAACGGAGGCTGAATTTTCTGCTTGTTTCATGCGTGCTCAGCTGGCTACCAAAGGCTTTTCCTAAATAAAGATCCCAAATGTTTCTTTCTCTTCATGTCTTGCATGGGGAGCAAATGATTTTTTAATAAGGAGAAAAGTTAGAACTAAGAGTTTGTAATTTTGCACAGTGTAGATTCTGTGCACACGACTGGGAGGGAGCACTCATTTGAAGGGAGGATGTGGCTGCAGGTTGGCAATGTGCTGGTTAAGGCCAAGATTACTGGCAGAAACATAAAGCAGAGGGCACTGTGCAAATTTCAGCCTTTGTGCTTGACCTCTCCAAATACATAACATACCAAAGACTTTAACCACCCTAACGAATTTACAGAATAGTAGTTGCCAGCATTTTTCTCTGTTACTTCTAGCTCATGGTAGCCTTTGTCCTCTGTGGGATCTGCATGCTCAAAAGAAAGCCTGGGACTTTACATTTGGTCGGTATGTTTGTGGTGTAGAAATTAAAGTCTGATGTTTAACTTCTCTCTGAACATGTGTGATTTCTCATTTGGATGCCTTGGTCTGCTCCATGTTCATCTTAGCTTCACTTCTCGTAATTTGGAGTTGTAGGTTTAAGCATCTCTGAAAATTTGATTAATGTGAGTTCATTTTGAAAAGCAACTGTAAAAAAACCACTCAAACTTCTTAGTCTTAACGTAGCAGGGTGTTTGTGCTTCTGTCTGCTTCAGAGTGCCACAGAACACAGCAGCAATAAGAAACCAAGCTGGACTTTGATGAGGGGCTTTTTTCTGTGACTCAGCAGGGAGATGACTTATAAAACCCTCAGCAGCTAAATGTTTGTGAGCCCTGTAACAGAGTAAAAATTCATAGTTCTTCCTCCAAATATGGCCTAGAGGCAACATGATTCAGTTTCTTTACTTTAAAATATGTATTATTTAAACCAACCGAGGAGAAAAAGATTTAGTGCTAGGATCCTTATCTGTGGTCAGTGAAAGAATGGACAGGCAGTATCAGTGGTCTTCTGATACTGCTTAGTATCTTCTGCCACTTCTTTTCTGCTTCAAGCAAACTTTCTCCGAGGTAATCCCTGGGTACCGATATGGAAATCATCCTATCACACTGGGCACTCCAAAAAGGCAGCGTCTTTTATGCAGTGCCTGTATAACAAGATGCACTGGATTAGATTGTCCCTGCCTTACCCAGCCCTGTTACATCTCAGTATGTTTTGTAACTGCAGGCCCTCCTTTCAAATTTTAAGCTGATAGCCCTTGATACACACTTGATTTCATGATACAAGTCACACCACATCCTCCTTCATATAGTTTGAACCAGCTTCTTGTCACCAAATGTTAATGATTGTTAGCCATAGGGATCTCACATAGAGCCAAAACCAAGTGTGCGCATGTACATGGACAGTCTTCTCTAGAGTAAATTTGCTTTTACTGCAGATGAGAAGTCACAATCGGGAGTGGACTCCCCTAAGGGTGGGGATATAGCCTTCACAGTTTGGTTTAGAAGAAACATTGGAAAGAGAAATTGCCGTAGAGAAATCAGTGTTTTGTTTGTGTCTGTAAACTTGATAAAGAGCCCAAGCAAAGTATTTTCCTGTGATTTATAATAGTAATATAAATTTGAGGTCTCCCACACAGTTATTTTTGCCAGCAGCTTTAAAATTTAATTAGAACCATTTCATTGTTTCCCAAGCACATAAGTTTGTATAGCTACATGTTTTCAGCTTTTCCAGCACAGGTTCTGGCTCGGGGTAAGTTGCAGTGAAGAGCTGTCTGGATACTGTTTTCTCGCAGGTTTGACATGAATCCTTTTCTCTTTGTGCCATCACATTAATGAATTAATCTGCTGCTGCTGGGCACACTGAGCACAGATCTAATGCATCCTTGTAACTGTGTTAACATTTTGAATTCTAGGAAACCTGTTAGCTGTAAGCTGCATTGTTGTTTTCAGTTTCTAATACTTTTTTTGTTATAAACAAAAAAAAATTTTTTGTTGTGTTTGCATAAACTTCAGTAAGATACCAGCTTTGATCCTTACTGTCTGGAAATAGAATACTTTCAATGTCAGACAAAAGCAAAAGACACTTGTGCAGTTGTTTGGCCTCATTGAGACAGCTGAGACTGTCAAGATATTTCACTTTGATACCATGCTCAGACTTCTGGTTCCTAGGCAGCGTGCATTCCTCAATGTCTGTGTAGGATGTACATCCTGCAGTTACACATTGCTCACGTTGAATTCAATTCTGGTTGGTGCTGTAGGCTCCAGCTGGGGTTTCAAAGTCTGGGTTCTAGGTTTATCCAATTTCATATTTTCCTATCACTAAATGAATAAATAGTTTGAAATATTCCCATTGCTTCCTCTGTTTTTGACATGTATACCTGGTCTCAATGAATTTGAAAATGTTGCAAAAATAGTTCCACAAAAAATGCTGTCTACAAAATATAGAGGCAAAGTCTGACTGGCTGAAGCAAGTACAGGTGCAGAGACTTTACCATGTGTTGGTTAGTCTCATATGTGGAGTGCCTCAAATGCTTCTACTATTAAGATAACATAAGTTATTTTATATTTAATTATAACGCTTTATTATAGGTATATTTAGAGAGAGGAAACATGGAAGAAAAACCATAATAAAAAATTACAGTATAATACAGTATAATATTCAAAACAACACTCTCTTATGCTCAGGATATTTATCCTCTTTTTTCAGCCATGAAGGAAACCAAAAGGTTCTTTGTATGGGGTAATGAAGCTAGGACTGTGTTAACAATTGAAGATTACAGTTCTGTCAAAGATAAAGTTATTTATTTCTCCTTTAGCTCATAAGTAGCCTTCTATTTGGCTTTAAAAGTTAAATGCATTTGATAAGGTTTAAAAAAGCAAACCAAAACAAGTGTGCATCTCTATTAAATCAGTTTTAGGAATGTGTCAATAAAACCATATTAGTATAATTCGTTAATGTGTTTGCAATTTTATTTCTTGCAGGCATTCATGTCAATGTTTCAGATTCTCACACAGGAAGGATGGGTAGATGTCATGGATCAGACACTGAATGCTGTAGGACATATGTGGGCACCAGTAGTTGCTATTTATTTTATACTGTATCATCTTTTTGCTACTCTGGTAAGTTTTCACTCGCAAATGTGGTATGCTTCATTTCATTTTGAATTACTCTCACAGCTCTTATATTACTTATTATTCTCAGCTAATTGTGATGCTCATGCCTAAAATAGCATAGGCAGCTTTTGGTTCGCAGATGTGGTAGAATAAATTTACCCTTCACCCATGTGACACGAGGTGGTGGCCTTTGTTCTGGTGTGAGGTGTTGTTCTTAGGTCCAAGTCACACTGCCAGACTAACAATATAATTGTTATCTGCCTTGTACCTTCACAGCTCTAGTGATTTCAGAGTTAAGAGAACTGGTCTCCTCGGCTTTCATTGCATTCGCTTTGCAACAGCAATTAAAGTGAGAAGTGTAAAACTTTACTATACAAACCCTTAACTAGTCATCCCTACTGTCCTGTTGCCTGATACAAAATCGATGCATGGAAAATATATGATATAGTGTATCAAGCAATAAAAGATGAGAGCTAATACAGCAGTTCCTGCATGCAAACAGAAATGTGGATTATATAAATAAAACAAAAGCCAACTTTTTTTTCTGTATGTATTTCAAGTGTGATTATTACATTCTTTCATAGAGAAAATGGAAAGGAAAACTCTCTTTGATTATCCTCTATCAGTAAGGGCTTGTTACTTTATTTTAATACCAACACAAAGAAAATACCACAATGAGGAAAATAACCATTTTATGCACCCTTAATTCACTCCTACTATTGCTCATTTTTTATTTTCCATTCACTGCAGGTTTTGATGCACTGTCTTATTTTCACTTTTTCATTCCATTTTCTTTCTTTGCTCAGATGTCTATTTACAAAAGGTACTAACTGTATTTATACAATCTCCACCAGCTTCTAGTTACTTCTTTTACTTTACACTATATCCCATCTCACTTCTAAAGACTGAAAAGTTGGACTACAATTGTGGGTGCAATGGATTCCTTCATACGGATTGAAAACTTGACCACTTTATAATTGGAAATAAAGTGCATTTCCTGCTCTTAGAGCTGCTTAATCACATCAAAGTATAAGCCAAACAAATGTATGTATCAGAAGATATATAGGACATAGAATTTGCTCACAAGGGTCAGAAAATACAATTTTTCATGCTGGAGTGATCTTTTAAACTCCTTGGGTATTGAAGCTATAAAGCAAAAGGGAAGTGAGTTTTTTGTCACAGATTTGAAAGCAGTTAATGGTAAGAGAATCTTATTGATGTTTTTTTGATTCTTCATCAAGAATATTTTCTAATCAGTAATTGATTTTTACTTCTTAGATGAGTATTAAGCAAGTCCGTAAAGTAAAATTGTGTCAAGTGATCTCTCTGCCAATAATTCACATCTTAATTAAGAAATAATTTAGCTGTAAGAATAATTTTAGTATTCTGTTTTGTGTTCCTTATTTTGAAAGAATCATCTGGGACTTCTCTATTTGTTTACTGAAAGCACTGATTTTGCTAGGAGTGAAGTCACTTTTCCATACACCATCCTCCGTCCTTTTGCAGGGAATTTGCATTTAAATACAGTCCTTGATTTGCTCCATAAGGGTGCACTTTTGTTCTCATTCACCAATGCAAATTCTACATGAATGAAGAAACCCTTCAAAGACAACTTTGCTGAATTATCTGGGCTTATGAAGTTTTGGTTTCAATTCTAAGATCTTCCTCAGACCTTGGAAGGGAAAACTATGTAGGACAGAGTTGTCTGTAGGCAAAAGAAATTTAAAACAAAATAACATGGAACTGTTAAGGGAGCCCATGGCTGGGCTGCTACTAAAACCAAAAAGAAGCATTCTAAGAATAAACAGCCATCAGAGAATAACAAGAGTAAAGTCAAATGAAGAAATTACTTTCACCAACTAGAAAAGGGGGGACAATTAGAATTGAGAATGATAATTGCAGGCATTTGGCATAGCAGACTGTAGAGATTTGGAAAGAAATTAATAGGTTTCACATAAGAAGGCAAAGAAAAACTGAAGCTCAAAAAAGACTCACTCTCTTGGAAACAAGGACTGTAATTAGTTGAAATGGTAGCAGAGGAAGTTAAACAAATAACAAGTTTGCATTTAAGTTTTCTTTTGTGGTACATTTTCTTTTGTTCTTGTTGAAAAAAAAGCAAAAAGGGAGTTAATGAAAGTCTTGCCTTGATACATATCAGTGCATGAATCAGCAAGACTGTAAGGGGTGATATATTTAATGAGTACTGTACTTCTTTTTAGCATGGAACTGAACTTCCTTCACTGGTATGCTTTGAGCAGCATGTACTGAGCATTATAGAATGAACAGGATCTCTAAAGAAGCAAAACACCGTACTGTAAAGTCTTAACAGAATTACAGCAAAATTCTTCACTAGCAACTAGGGATCAAATTAGTTTTCATAAATGCTTGTTGGTCAAAAGAAAGAAATTACAAAAATCAGAGCGTCCACAATCAGAAAGTTCTAGTTGGCATGGAAATTAGTATCTTAGTCCCTGACCTACTATATAAGCACATGGCAGTGGGTTTTGAATAATAAGAGTGACTTGAAAGGCAAAAGAAACATTGAAGAGGTATACATGAATTAAAGACAGAGCAAGAAAGCAAAAGAGATCACTAGTGCTGCTTCCAGTGTTCATCCTGCTGGGGAGATGCCGAGCCTGGTTTCAGCAGCACCAGTCTAGCTCATGGGATGTCCAGGATCCTGGAGGTGATTATCCAGCAAGTAGGTGTTGATCCATCTGTGTCAGTATGACCACTGGGATGTTCAGGGTACTGGAGGGTGCTGCCTGGGCTTGGGGAGGAGCCTTTTCATGGGACAAGTTTCTCTTTTTTTATGATAATTAACTATCATGCACAGTTTATTCTTTCAGGCCTTTCTGGAAATGGGTTAGAGGGCTTTGGTGGTGTCAATCCCACCCTACAGTCCATGCCTATGCCATGCCCACGTCCATGTCAACTCATTCTTGTGCTTGCACTGTACTGTGTCATGTTTCAGCTGGTGGAAAAGTGCTGCCCTATTTCTGCCTCACACCCGTTTTCCATCAAAACCTTGTTCTTACTCATGGCATTTTAATACCTATAGTTCTTGATTATTACCAATGATTTTTGCCTGTCATTACTAGTAGTCCTTGGCTGGCTCCACAGCCATCCAGTTATTGGTGTGTGAGACACACACATTCACCCCTTTTTCTGGGAATTGAGAGCTTTGGACCACTGTTTATAGTATCATTAGAGAGTGGGCTTCAGTCATAGTAATTTTCCATCTGGCCACACTTTGAAAAACTTTCTTTGAAGGTTCAACAGAAATATTATTCCTCTTGGTTGTTTTGCAGGCAAGAAAAATGTTTCCCAGGTTTTTGCTTAAAATGCAGGTGCTTGTTAGACACCTGTTAATTCCTGGGAACAGAGAGTGTTTCTGATAAGAGGGGCTTAGTCCCAGTGCAGTTCACCCAGCCTGAGGCCTAATGAGCATTTCTCCAATCAAAGTGTGGCCTGAGTGGGATGAGGGCGTGCACCACCACAGGCTATCCTGAAACTAAAGTCAACTTCTGTGGGCCTCTACATTGTGCTAGGTATTATGTATTTTATCAGAACTATGCCTTGCATTGCTCTTCTAAATGCCATCTTTACTTCCACTGTTCATAGTAGCTGGATCACTGAAAATTATATGATGTATTGTTTACGTGGCACATACAATATGTCACTTTGAATAACTGCAGGAAATTCTATGTGTTGCTAAAGCCAACTTCTTGTTAAAAGAACTTTTTTTTTCTTAGCACTGACATTTTTTAAATTTATGGGCCAGAGTCCTTCCTATGTCTTCTGTACCTGTATCGTTTATGGAGCAAAAGAAAATCCTGCCTTGGAATAAGGTCCACTCAGCTTAGATGCATTTTAAGTTCCAAACTCCTTGCCTGGTATATTAAGCCACTTAAATTTCATCTTCTGTATAGGCAGGGAATAAATTTCCAGTGTGACAGGCAAACTTACCCTTCATTTACAGGTAGTGGTGGAAGGATATGTTTGCTCTGGTTGTCACTCAGTGGTCCAAAACCACAGAAAAATTCTAGACCTGTAACTGTTTTTAAAAGAAGTTAGGATACCTTCTGGTACCCCTCTGGTATATCAGAAATTGATGCTTTCCAGAAGAAGCTCAGTATGTTTGAGGATGTTTACATCATACTTCAGAGACTATAACCTTGGCAGTTGCTGGCAGCTGTTGACTTATGTAGGTGTACATATATTTACTGCCTGAGATAGAAGTTGTCTGATAATATATGCTGAACAGCAGTAACCTCTCTCACCTACCATACTCCTAATTCTGTCTGCTTATCAGTCACATTTTCAGCTTCTTTGGATTCTGGTCAGCATCTGTATGCAAGGGAAATGTAATAATCTCATACTGATACAGACTTTTTTTTTGCTCCCTGGGATTCTTCCTCCTAGAAATATATCTAAACAATATTTAATGTTGAGTAAATTGAGGAACTTGATTTTCCTCTTCTGTGACGTGAGTTTCCTATACATGTGATGCATGCAAATAATGAAGCATCTTACTTTTCTTCCAAAGTGGAGTTAGGTACATTTCACAGAGGCACTCTAAGCATAAAGGAAGGCCATAAAGTAAATGATTGTCAAGTGACTGAAAGTCACAACTTAATTGAAAACCACCTTAGCTTTACAAGATGTTTCAGGATTTTACTTTGTGTTTCTTTTATTATTGTTGCTGTTCTTATTGTCATTGTTATTATTATTGTTGTTGTTGTTGTTTGTTGCTATTATTTATCATTAATTTAATTTTCTCTTCATGTGAAGTACATTTTAATGAATATATTGTTAAACATATATAATTAATTGGTCATAAAACCTAGAATTTAGCATTTTTAAACTCATAATAATTGTATGGTAAGATAAAAAACAGTTTACTACTTTCAAAAGGACTAGCAGATATATAGTAGCAGGTGATATTCATTCAACAGATGTCAAAGAATCTCGTTTACATCAGCAGGGTTGTCATTTTTCCATGTTAATTAATAATACATCTTAAGAAAAATAAGATAAGCTTTAACAAATCATTTACAATTGTTTTGTAGATTCTACTCAGCTTGTTTGTTGCTGTTATTTTGGACAATTTGGAACTCGATGAAGATCTAAAGAAACTTAAACAAGTAAGAACATGTTTTTATTGTTCTTGAAAGTAGCTTCAATAAGGCATTTTACTTTACTGGTATTTTGTCTGGCAAAAGGTGGGAAACATCTTCATCACAATGAACAAAACACTACATGTGGAAGTGAATAGTGGTATTTTGTTAGATAGTGTACTATCACACAACCTTAAGGAAAAATTAAGATATTGTAAAAGAGATGTAGAAATTTGGTTTAGTATTCAATCAAATTCAATTTAGATACTCTTGTAATTAAAATAATCAAATCACAGCTAGGCCATCTTTTTTGCTTATAACCTAGGGAAAGATATCCCTTCCCATGCTTTCTGCAGGGAAGGGTGATGGGAGAGGGTCCACAGTTAGGAAGCAGTAGAGCATGCTCTGGTCAACGTGTTAGGGGAGGGCTACAGATGCTTGAAAGGGTTAACTTGCTTGATTGATTGTCCTCATTTGGGGACCAAGGAGTCATTCTCTCATGCCTGAAACCCCAAATGTCAATTACATAAAACAAATGTAAATAGAGAATTCAGGTTGACCTTTCTGCCGTTGTGCACAAACCACCAGAGAGGAAGGTATCCATAGCTTTTAAACAAATATATAGCTGTGCTTTAATCTGTACAAAGAAAAGCAAATTCATCAACATTTCCCTATTTCACACATGAAATAGCATGAGCTAACACATGGGAACATCTTCTGTAATGTTTGGCTTATAGCCATTTGCTGCTTTTGTTCATCCTTCATGTGCATTAGCAATTGCCATAGAATTATGTTCATTCAATTCTTGAAAAATAATCACCCAGACAATTGAGATGTTTTACACTGAAGTTCTACGTGACATCATTATATACTTTTATTTTTTCTTTATAGAATTCAATGCAGAAATCAATGCTGCTTTTGCTGTTGCAGTATTAAATATCCATATGTATTGCAAACATGAAATAAGTTAAAAGGACAAGTATTTTCTGCAACAATGAAACACAAATACTGGGTTTTAGTTCATGAGTTTACATTAGTGAGAGATCTTCCAGATTATTTTGGGATGGTGGGACAGTCGTGAGTATGCAAAATGAGTAGGCCAAATCAAAAGCATTCATTTTCCTCTTTACCAGTCTCAAGAGCTAAAATGATCTGAAATGAAAATGGCTCAGATTTGTGGTAAGCAATGTTATATCATACTGATAATCTTACAGGAAATTTTTCATGGTGTCTGCTTGAGTTAGGAGCACAAATCAATTTTCCAAAGTGAAGAGCTTGAGATGTGAAATCCAGCGGCTTTTGTGTGAAACATCTTTGATTCATAAACCACTTTAAAAGTCCACACCTTTGACCATTAAATGGCAGCAGCATGGCTTTGTGCTTTAGCCGCCTGCTTTGGAAGTGGTGAACAAAAAGCAATAATGAGATCACCACTAGCAATGCTTGCCACATTTCAGTCTGAAATTTTATTAGTCTGGTAGGAATTCTGTCTCTGTGATAGCAATAGAGAACACTTAAATGCAAGATATAAATATAATTTTTTTTTAATTTCTCAATGTCATAGCTTTGAGACTGTAGCAGTATAACTACGTCAGAGTGGTGCTGGGCCAGAACAAAACTGCTGCCCCAGCCACCAGACCTTCTGGCTACCATGCCACTCCATGACCCAAGAGGGGAACTAACCAGAGCACAGCACTTTGCCATTGGGATTACCAGCTGGGCTGGCTGGCATAATGGTATAAGGATTCTGCGTGCATTATAATGCATATTATATACCATTCGGATGCATGAAAATGTCCAAGGGGGCTGATGCTTGTTCATTTGTACTTACGTTTTTGAAATGTTTTCTTGAGCAGTAGTGTCTTCTCATAGAGTATTACTCAGTTCTATTGAATGCATTCTCTTCTGGTATTTTATGCAAACAAACGAATATTGTACAAAGTGTTACATATTTTAAAAATGCCTAAGGTGAAAAGAGGCAAGTTCCTGGAGCTCAATGATATGAGGTTTCTGGAATGAATGTGCTTAAGTGTCTAGAACAGAAAAGGTTTCCTGAGGGGTAAATACGATGGTATCACAGGTTCAGTGCTGATGGTGACTGTGCTCTACTGTGCTGAAATATTACTTGTCTTATCTCAGAAGATAAAGCAAGAAAGAGTTTTCTTAATTGAATGATATTTTGACTTTTCAATTAAAAATTTACTTTAAAAAGAAGCAGGATTTTTAAGGTAATTATTTTCTAACCAAGACCATTTCTATAAAAAAATAAATCTGTATTGCTGCACAGAAATATTTTTGACATCTATAATTAAAAGATGAATGGCATTCTAAGAGAGAAGTCAAATAATTCAAGCTGTTAATGTAAAAGACGTTCATTGGTTGAAAATTATGAGATTGTGATGCTCTCCATCCTTGGGGATGTGTGTTTTTCCCTGCCTTTGTGGGCTGTAAAGCTCAAGTCCCAGGGCATTTTCAGATGATGAAACACTGAATGATTTTCTAGGAAGGAAGGAGAATATATCTGTGCCAGAAATCACACCTGCCTAATAATCTCTTTTGAGCTGTGTTCTTCTTAGTTATGACTTAATTTTTTTTCTGGAACTTGATAAGAAAAATTTTATTACTTAACTTTCAGATTACTGGTAAAGGACTAATTAGTTAATATTTGCAATGTAGTCTACAATGTAAAATGATATGTAAACACTTGGTATTCATGTTGCTTCAGTAAATGTATTTAAATATGAATAAATAAAAGCAAAAATGCATTAAAAGACTAGGAGATTCTAAGTAAAATTAGAACATAATTTGTTTAGAAGAAAGTAAACCTTTAGAATTAAATATGCCAGTGCAAATTTAGTTAAGGATATACATCATGATTCAGTATTTAATTACCCCATTACATAATATTAATTCCAAAAGTCATGCCTCAGTGCAAAGAGTAGATAGAGCTCATTTTAATAAGCCACTAGTCTCTTTGTACAGTGTGTGATCCTGTGCATTATTTATTGCACAGTATTCAGGCTTTACTACAAAGACAAAACTACTAATCTCCTTTCTAGTTTTTTTTATGGTACCCCTCATAAGTATGTAGAACAAACATAAAACTTGTGAAAGATTAATTTAAGTTATTTACTTAGCAGCACAGATACACATAAGAATAGAATCTTCTTTTCCAAGACACCATTCAGCTGGTTTAAGAGCAGAATAATTTTCTGTATCCTTACAGCTCTAATTATTTGCAATGCATCTCCTAGCCTGTGCCACATCTCATTCTCTTGTCTATGTCTGCCATCATAGCTCAAGTGGAAAGTATTTGTGCTATAGCTCGTAGTCACCATCTGGCTGTGCAATAAACTTCACCCTCTGAAGTGATCCAGGCTGACCCTAACACACTACTGAGCCTCCAGGTATGACACTGATCCTGCTCATCTTGCCATGAGGCCCTTTCCTCTGGCGTTCAGTACATCAGTTATACAGATGATATCGAACTTAGGCACAAGAAATTTGTCAGCTACAATCCTGACTTCCTTCTCATCTATGCCTGTCTTCTCCACACTCTCCCTAAACCATTGTCACAAAGTTAAAAAAGAACCTGAGAGGATTTCTTTGATGTCTTCTGCCTTTTGTGATAAAGTGTTGACTTTCTTTTTAGAAATTCATCACCTTTAACAGATTTTGAAGCATGACTTTCTCTTGCAGCAGCTGTTTTAACTTTTCCCATTTTATTTTCCACATATTTACTGATTCCATTGCTATATATTTTTATCAATTTGCCTAGATATGAAGTCAGACTGATTAGATTCTCACTTCTCATGCTCTACCCTGAATCCCTCTTTTAAAGTTACACATATTTGCAGCTTTCCTTTCCTCTCATTCTGGAGTTTATTTAGGTTACAAATTATCTACCACTGCTGTATGTCAGCCGTGCTATGTCTGAGATCCTTTAGAAGTCTTGAGAGAGTGCTATCAGGTGTTAGGGAGTAACAAATTGACCTGGTGTCAATTATCTTCCAAAAATTTTTCTCCTAACATTTTTGTAGATCAGTCTTTGGCACTGTTTTGGGCCTTTGACCCTGTCTGTGGCCAACACTGTTATTTTAATTTCTTGCTTTTGTTTTCCTTTTCAGAACACACTCAATTAATAGTCTGTTGCTCTTTTAGATGTCCTGCTTTCCTTATGTCCAGTGTGTTTCCTTGTTTTCCTTTAGTGTGTTTCAGAACACACTAAATTAATAGTCTGTTGCTCTTTTAGATGTCCTGCTTTCCTTATGTCCTTAAAAGCTTTCTTATTAGAGTTTATTTCTTTAGAAACTATTCCCTCAAAGTCTTTAATGATCTGCCATTATTTTTATACCAAAAAAAGTGCTAAAATTTATGTCGAGGTTTAGTTTTATCTATTCTTTCCTTACCAGATGGCTTTCTTTTCTAAAACATATCCATTTACTTTTAAGTCTTCTTTGCACTCAATTTGACATTACTGGTATTGTTGACCTTCTTGGAGTTTTTTCTGTAGCTGGTAGGTAAAACACAATATCTCTGCTAATACAACAGGATATTTAAAACTACTCCATACACACCCCCTTCCCAATTTCTGTCATTTGTCCATTCCTTTAAATTTCTTTTTGAAAGCTTTATGATTTTAAGTAATTTTTTAATTTAAATTCAGTGTAATAATTTGACCTTTTACTTGTAAAGTAAGATCTGAATATAAGACCATTTTTATCACTGTTACAGAAGAGCTTTTTGATATTTATGTCATGAAATAGATTTTCCTCAGTACTAAACCATGAGACACTTCTTCACTTAGGTGTTCTCTGGATATATGAGTCAGCAAGGAGTCACTTTTGAGTAAAAAGTTAATATCTTTCTTATTCCCTTTCCTAAACATACATGAGGGTAAAGGCTTCCCGGTGTTATTACTGCTTGTCTTTTGGCTTTGAATACTATTTTGCATTTTGAAATTACTTTATAAACCTGATTTACACATGTGCGGAATATTTCTTCCAGTTCAAGACACAGTTTCAATT